GTCGTTTGACCTGCAAAGTCTTTCAGGGATGGCGATTTTGACCAACCATCACATCCCCTATCCGTAATGTCATTTGACCTGCAAAGTCTTTCAGTGATGGCGATTTTGACCAACCGTCACATCCTCCATCCGTAATGTCAAAAAAAAAAGAGATTTGTCATATTGTCTGTAACCACTTACCTCCAGGCAGCTATGACACTGAAATGAACGAGTCTGTGCGATGCGCTGTTCTTTTATAGCCTGAGTCTCACTCGCTTGTCCTAATGCCAACATGCTCTATGCGTTTACATAAGTTTGAGGTAATATGCTTATGTGTATGCTTAGCTTAGGTTGGCTGTAGTCGCAACCTTAGTTACGACTCGCATGATCCTACTTGTATACAACTTAAAACCAACTTACAACTAGCTTATTACTATGTTTGATCAAATATCTACTCGCTAAGCACTCAGGTACCAAAACGCGTGATTCAATCACCGTTAGGTCAGAGTGCTTGTACACTGTGTTTACATGTTCTTTGTGTTTTCCTACATGTGTGATCGTGTCTCTGTACATTTTGTGTATGCAGTTTATGAATTGTCATATGTTCTTATTATTTTCTTTTCCTACCTAAGTACTTGCTCCTATAAGTTTGGTATACCCTAACGGTGCTACACATTCTGCGCATTTTTACACATAGAGATTCTTGCTGAAGTTTGTTCTGCATGCATAGATTTTCTACCTAAGTTCAATTCTGCTTGTTTTGTTTACCCTAACGGTGCTGCGAATTTTTACACATAGAGATTCTTGCTGAAGTTTGTTTTGCATGCATAGATTTTCTACCTAAGTTCAGTTCTTGCATGTTAAACATTTTGGGATTTTACTTGTATTTATACTTTGAGTTTTATTTAACCTTTGAGTTCTTAAACATTTTGAGATTCTACTTGTATTTATACTTTGAGTTCTTAAACATTTTGAGACTCTACTTGGGTTCTTAACATATTGATTTCTTGCATCCAATTTTTCTTTTATTTGGGTTCTTGGCTCTGCTATCAAATATTTTGAGGTTTTGGAATCTCAGCTGTTTGTACACTGGGGTTCTTACTTTCTTGGTTCTGAGCTTTTTTCCCTTTTGATTGTGTTCTTGACTCCGCTAACACATTTTGAAATTTGGATCTCTTTTTGGGACCCTGGGGTTCTTAATCTGTGCTGTGGTGGGCTTCTGTGGTTTTACAGAGGCATCCTCACTATGTGCTTGTACTTTTCTCTTTACACACATGTGGTGTGTGTTTCTATGAATTAACCCACGTGGGCCTGTATAATAGGTGTTTAGACATTTTTCCCGTTACAAGGTATAGGCATATTTAGTGTGTGATATTATGATTTTATCTGTACAAGGTATAGGTATACTTAGTGTGTGTTTTATGATTTTGATATTGGAGGGGGCTGTCCGTGTATTGCGCACAGAACGGCATGCGTGGACAGATCGGACTTGCTGACTGCGGATTGGGGATAGATGTCTAAGGCGGACGGACTTGTATTTCGTGAGGAAGCAAAATCGCTTCCTTACAATATATATATATATATATATACAAAATCATTTTTTCTAATAATTATTATCCCTTACAACGAATTTCTGATTATACAGATATTTATGATGATTGCCCTAGATGTTTAGTTTTTCCTTCTTGTGTGAAACTAGCTGTGGTAGTTAATATTTTTGCGAAAGGTTGTGGATTCTATAAGAGGAAAAGCAAAAAGTAGGGAAGCGAATAGTTTGGATTTGTAGGTTAGTATATACAGTATTAGTAGATAGTATATACAGGTCAAGGAAAACATTGTTAACGTCTAAAAGCTAACGTTCCTTCGCAAAAATCTCAATATATTTTTCTTCTATTTTAAACTAGCTCTTTTAAATGAACTACGTGGCATTTTTATCGGTAAATTCTTGCATTTTGCTTCTAAAACCATTATATCATCACTGTTTCTTAGCGAAAAATTTAACCAAATGATTTTCGCAAGCTTCCCTTAAAGTCAGCTGCATACTAATGACAGAGCTCTGTAAAGAGCAAACCCAATCGAAGACAGGCCTGTGGCGTTAGTATTATTGACAGGGTCGAAATAATATTATAAAATATAGTGCATCCTTTTGAGAATTTTGACTCGTTTTCAAAACGCGCAAATTCCGACTAAATAAACAACTGTCGTAGTGTTTTCATTTCTTTTGTAATTGGGGGAAAATTGTTATCTTTCACACGTTAGGTAACATGAAGTGATAATATTGTAGTAAATCTACGCGGATGCGGGGGATGCCCTAAAGACTACTTTGGGAAGAAAGTTTACTTCTCCAAAAGAAAGAATTTTTTAGAAAAGAAGGAGTCAAATTCAAAGGTAGTAAAGAAAATTTTATATTTGGTTCCATCCAAATCAAACTTTGGTTTCGACGTCGGAGTCGTTGCTATTTATACTAAAATTTTGGCAACTTAAAAATAAGCACATTTCTTTCTTGCACTAATTACTCTTGAATTAAGCATATTGTTACGGAAATCCCAAATCCAGCTCATTCCAGCTAATTAGTTTTCCAACAAAATAAATTTCCTAAATAGGGAAAAACCAAGTGTATATTCGCGGCCCGTCATGCAGCTGCCGGTCGACGAAAAAGATTAGCAGAAAATCAGGTTAACGGATTAAAAATGAAGCCATGAATTCAGGTAATAGTAACATGCTTGTAAAAATGTATATAAATAGAATATTTGCAGAAGGCAGAGTTGGTAGAAAAAGAATATTTGAGTTGAGCAGTCGAGAGTATTGACAAAAAATAAAGTGTGAATAATCCTACTCTTAAGGACTACAATTGTAAATAAAATAATTTTGAAGTGTATTTCTCTTAAAAAGAATATCCACGATCTAGTGATACGGGTCCTACCTTAGAAAATCGAAATTTCAAACCAAAACATTGATTTCTCTTTAGTTCATTTATATTTAATACTCTAATTTCCTTATTTACCCCGAATTATCTTATCTAATTGTGTTTTACTTTGTTCATAATTTTCCTATTCTTTATACTGCTTTGTTTTACCGACTGCGTTTTGCTCACATCGTCATAGTACAAGTTATTATAGTAAGGTGTCGGCTTTCAACAAAGAAAACATTACACACCTATGCATGTAAATATAACACACATCAATGCATAATTCAGAACAAAACAAAGATGAGCTGGTAATTAAAATCTCAAAATTCATCGCTTTCGAGCAGTGTATCCAACGTTTCAATTCTTGTAATCTCTCTTGCTTTAGGTTTGGCCATAAAATTGAACAGAATAGTATTGAACGGAAATGTGTATATAATACAATGTTACTAAAGTTACGCGAGGCAATATGAGAAACTAACCATCTTAAGCTGTTCATTTAACCTAAGCAGATGTTCTTGTACTATAGATCACTACTTTTGCAGTCAATTATGAAGCAGCCTGCTCTTTTGTATAGTATTCGCTAGCGCCTATAGTATGGTAAAGTTATAAAGTACTTGCCAATGTTATCGAAACCGAGAGCATTTGCCTTAGACTGCTTAGTGTTACTTCTAGGGAAACAGGTTTCTCCAACATTTTTCCACCATTTATCATACAACATTTGTATATCACCCTTCTCTTGTAGTTCCAAAATTGCCAAGGATATTTTGTCACGCCAAGGTGAGCCTTTTGGTGTTGCAATACCGTAACCTAAAACAAAATTTTTTTGATTAAAAAATAAATACAAATAAAACACGACAATTTTTTATACTTCTCATGTCGAATTATTCGACATCAATTGGAGACTTTGAAATAAATGCATACATATATTAGATATTACCGAGATATGGTGTTGATTTCATTCATTTATTCTTTCTACCTTGTGGTATAAGGGTGGTATAAGGTGATTTTATAACTATTTGTTATATCCATCAACTAGCAGTCTCCTTGCAACAATAATTAGCTAGTCTGTTGCGCGTTTATCTTTTTTTTCCCGGTTGTTTTCGCTCGAAACATACATTAATGAAACAAGTTTCTTGAGTGCATTCGAAGAAAAATTACAAATGGATATGAAATAAAAAAAAAATGTCCATACCCAGCAATCCCGAAACTCTCGCTGCACAATATTGTGTCCCTTAAAACTATTTTTAAATTGCTGTCCTATTTTACAATTAAACAGTATCCAGTTTAAGTCGGATGGTTTTTAGGAAAGCCATCATCGGTCGTTTGAATAGCAAACCTGCTGGAGCGCGGTATTTTGTGTCTGTCTCTCTACGTAATGCCAATGGTACACATTCTTCTGGTCGGAAAAAGTAAAAATATTCACTTCGACTTTGGCAGAAATATTAGAAGTTTTGCAAGTTTGTTGATATTAAAAATGGGCCAAATCGGTTGGACGACACGTTCACAGAAAAGTGTAAACAGAAAGTAGCTCTGTTTCTCAACGAAAAATTTGCGGGCTCTTCCTCATTATTCATAAATTATAGAAGATAGAAACCTGAAATTTTCTAAATGTATTCTATATTAATCACGTTCAAAAAGCGGGAAAATCAGACCGCGCACACATAAATTTATAGACGATAAGACCTTGACGTTTCGTCGTTTTCTGTAATACATATTATCCTTAAGGTAAATTACACAGAATATCGAAAATTGTCGTCTACAATATGCATAGGAAGTTGTATTGTGTTTAATTAGAAAATAACGAGTACACCCACTCGCAACTATAATATACAAAAATTGACTTGGTTTCGTTTTTTCTGCAGTAAACGGGAAAACAATAAGGGAAAATGGAAAAGGGTTATAATAACTCAAGAAGAGACAAAACTAAAACAAGACTTCATTATTTTACTATTACCATCATTATCGTCTTTCTCGGCCTACCATCTTCCAACATATTACATATACGGTTCCTCTCGGCACTAATAAATCAAGAGTATACAAAGCTCTTTTATTGAATATTATATAGCCTGGACTTACTTCCGCACTTATATAGGGTCTAATCGTGCAATCTAGTAGAAATCTATACAAAACACTGTTCACTTCATAGTGATTTGCTTTGTCTAAGTTTCTTTTAAGTCTTTTTTCTATTACCTTTACACTATTTTTAGCTTGGCCGTTTGGGGGAGAATTACCTATGGCCGTTGTAACATGTATTACAATAATTTGAATTCTTTCGAAATTATCTGAGACCAAAAATTTCGGCAAACTAAATTTTGCAGAAAACTGTTCAAGCACCGTAATAGTGGCTTTAATATAACATATAAAATAATATAATATTGTTGCCCATATCAATAACTTTATTCATTTGCTACAGCTATCCACAGCTACTAAATACCACTTATTTGGGAGCGGACCAAAAAACTTTACCTTTATCCTTAACCAAATTTGGTCCGCAGATCGCAATGTAACTAATTTGTGTTTGGGTGGGTCAGGCCTATTTTTCAAACAAGATTCACATGATTTACAATGTTCTCCAAGTCTTTGGACTATTATATCCATCAACAGAATTCCTGTGCCATTAGCTTCAATTTCATGATTACCATTTGCGTTTCATGCAAGAAATTTGCTACCTCTGCTTGTAATTTCCTCGGCAAAATTATTTTATGTCCTCAAAGTAAGTAATCGAACTCAGTTCCAATTTCTTGTTGAATGGCCTAAGAAGTGCCTCCTAGGCCATGCAAACCTTAAAATGTTTTTTTTCTAACATTTCGTCTGATTAAGTCTCTTTTTTTATCTTGTCAAAATTGATGCAATTACTTTCGTTTGTTTTGAAAAATTTATACGTATTCATCTATATAGTGCAACGACGGTTCTATTTCGAAAGGGGGCCCGGAAAAGAAATCAGCTACATTAATTTTGATTTAACTGCATAAATTTCGTATTGATATTCTGATTCAAATAGCGCAATAAGTCGAAGTCTATTGGATGCCGTTCAAGGTATTCCTGTTTTCGAGCGAAAGATATATGCTAAAAGGTTTATTATTCGTCACATATTGGTGAAATTCTTCAATTCCAAATAATATTGGTATGGCTTCTCTATTTAATTGGCAATAGCGCTTTCGACTATCAGATGATGTTCTAGATGAGAAGTGGATTGGTTTTTCAATACTTGCAAAAAATCCACAGCTACTCCAACCGGACTTGGGCTTACGATGACTTTAGTTTGAAAATCGGGATTAAAGTGGGCTACGCAAATATGTGCCGTCAAGAACCAACCTTTTTAATTCGTCGACGGCATCGGAATTTTGCGGCCAATTAAATTCTTCTTTAACATGTTGCACAAAGGGCTTAACATAGTTGTAATATGTGGTATGAAATGTCTAAATATTTTATCATACCCAAAAAAGCTTATAATTAGCATTCATTGATAGGATACGAAATACTATTAGTTTCTCTAACTTTTTTTGAATTCATTCCTAAGCCATTTTTGTCAATCCGTAGCGCAAGTATTTAATCTCTTTACAAAAATATTTACGCTTTTACATGGATAATGTAAATCTAACATTATTTAAAATATGTAAAGGTTTTTCGAGTCGTTGTATGTATTGTTCCCTACTGGCATCAACCAGTATATCATGTAAAAGCACTATAGCTCTTTCTAAACTACTTAAAATTGTGTCATTCTCTAGAAGAGCTCAGGTTTTAGGGCAATCCATACGCTAACCACGTGTATGGAATTAATCCCTTGAATGTAGATACCGTCGTAAGCGTGCTAGATTCCGCATCTAAATCAAGTTGCTGGTATGTCATGCTCAAACCTAGTTTACATAACTCTGCACCCTTATAAAATTTTGCAAACATTTCTTCTAAACGCGGAAATTGATATTATCAACCATAATTTGAGGGTTAACTTTAAAATCTGCGGATACACCACCCCTAGTCGGTTAGGAGTCACGCCCTCTTGGAAATTAAGCGATACTTTAACTTTTTTAAACAGACCTAAACATATTTGGATATTTATTCATTAAATTTTTCTCAATTGACGTATTCATACTATCCAAATAATAGATCGAGAATCGAATATCGAATCGCCATTGAAAAAACGTTCACCTCCTTCTTCTCGACGTAATAAATTTTCCGATGGTTGCGCATTATTTTTGAATGTCCTCTTTTGCCACATATAATACATCTTTAATTTCAAAACTATTAGTTCTTATTGTTGTGGTTAGTATCTCCGCTGTAAACTTTTGTTTTGGCTGTTTAGCCGTGCTACAGCTCCGTCGCTGCTCTTTTGTATTAAAATGATATTGCTCACTTTGTTGCCCAGTTTTAATGCCGTTATTTTTTGTTTTTTAACGTATTTGAAACTTTGGTCACTATTGTTAATCTAGTACTGTCGCTTAATGTATTCCGCGCTGTTTGGTATATTCATTGTTTTAGCTAAGTCCATCGAAACATATCTTGGGCCGGAACATTTTTCAACCCCCTTATAAGTTTATTACGGGTTGCCTCTTCTGCGAATTCACATCTTGCGGCAATCGATCTCACTCGGGCAGTTCATTTATTGACAGTTTCTGTACCTTCTTTATTTACACTCTAAAATTTTAACCTTTCAGCATGACTTCATGATGGAAGGTTGAAGTGTTTTTTCATAGTCAGAACACGCATACTAAACGTTGTCGTTGCATCCTCCACTTCTGCTGGCCAATATGGCTTTGCTTTTCGTTTCATCCAATATACTGTTTTAAAATAATAGTTGTTGCATTTGGATGTCAAAATCATTATACAAATTTACTGCATTGTCAAAGGAAAGTATTTTTTCAATCCCTCCATTCATTTTATACAACACTTTTTTATCTATATATTTACTTTCTCACAGCAGCACTTAACACGACACGTTTTTATTTAATGTATAATATTTTGCCACGTCACAATTGTGATATTTAGAAATAATATCGGTCTAATTCATATCATTTTGTATTCTAGCATTTCTATTCTTGGTTTAATTCGTAATTCATATTTATGTAGGCAACGCGACGGCGTTGGCACATGTGCGATCAGGAGTAAAGAACAAACAAGACGGTTACAGCAAAACTTAATAACTTACAATACATTACAAAGAAAAATACTTAAAACATTTTGTTTAAAACATTTTAGATATATTAATTGAACATCGAAGATTCAGGCCTCTTACTGCTTATGTGCTATACCTTTTGTATCAAGTAACCCGCCGATTTGAGTAAGATTGCAATCGCGTTGCACGACATAATCTAGCATTGTAGATTCCATTAAGAATGCGTAATTACTTTCCTTGACACGTTTAATGCCTTCTTCGTAGGTACTTGTGAATGTGCTGTGTTTTTTTTTGTTTTCCATGTTGCGCCACATTTTGCGATATGTCTCAATCAATGAATCGCGGAAAAAAGTCATAGTTGAGCCACTTTCGAGAGTGCCATAAGATATTTCAGTTTGGCTAGACAAATCTTCGGCATTTTCAATAGGTGTTGTCATTCGTTCAACAGTTAGAAATGCGGCCAAATTCGCCGTATATGAAGCGATGATAATGAGGGAGAAAAACCACCAAATTGCACTCACTATTCGGACTGAAATTGCACGTGGCTTCAAATTAGAGCTCTGTTGCATTAAAGTTCCAACTGCAAACCAAAAACTATTTCTTAACGTAAACTTATCCAGATATTTAACGAAATATTTCGAAGAGCGATTGAAATTTGATCTTTCTTTAGGTGAAATCTTTGCCATTGCATGTATGGTAATAGAGACGCAAAAGTATGCTGTTAATACATATAGCCACACGTCGAAAGCTAAAGGATTCATAAAAGAAAATAGTTTCGTTGACGGCGTGGATGGTACCTAGGATTGGAGAAAATGGCCAATTTATTGCGATTGCTTACGCTTGCTCAAGGATAGAACAGCTACCTTAAATAATATACTTATCCCAAGGTTCATAAAGGGTTTTGTGAAGTCAATGACACTTTCGCGTGCATATGTTATTGTCATGGATCCAACAGCCAAATCAGCTTTCTGCAAAATATATAAGAGACAAGTTGCTTGCCCGGTCATACTGGAGTAGAAGCACAACTTACATATTTCATTAACTGTTCCACCATACCATTCCATTGGCCAGTTAATGGATCTTTGGCTCCATACTTTCTATCTGGTACCAAGTCTAATATGTAATCAAAGCCCACATCTCGAGCCACCAGCCGCAACACATCAACGCAAAATCCATAAAATCTATTATTTCCAGTATAGTTTTTGCCATAGCGCATCATCACGTATGGTTTTTCCTATTCGTTACAACATAAAACTCAATCGATAAATTTGTGACATAAATACAAACAATGGCATTCACAAAACTTACGAGTATTGTGATAACAACTAATGTCACATTCATTGAGCCAGTGTCGAAAAACAGTGAAGGCTCTGTTATGTTTAGTCGCATATGCGGAGACCATTCCCCAATTTTTACGATTGAATGCTGTTTCAATTTAACAAGATCTAATTTAAATTGTGTCCGACGACCTTCCTTAAATCGTATAGGACCGGTTAAACCTTTCCATTCAACCTAAAGCATAAAATAAGCAAGAAGCTTCACCTTTGCCTTTACATACTATAGATATAATATGCGGGTAGTTAAAGCGTTAATTTGTGAGAGGAAAACCATATAAAAACAAATGTCAAAATAAATAATATACTTTTCTTAGTTTTTACATCATAAGATTTTAGCGTATTCAACATTTCTTAGAAGGTTAGAAATATCAAATGAAACAAAATTCAAATTACGTTGAAATCCAGTTTACAGGAGAGGAAAACAAGGTTTATCTCTTTTTATGTAGGAAGAATAAATGAACACTAACTATTTACACACCTGTTTAACAATATTGCGTATTTATTTAATCCTAAAAGACAAGAATACTGCTTAGAATGGGCTTCAGTCGCTGGTGGCACCCCGACAAAAAGCAAAATAAAGAAAATTGTATTCGGATGTGATCATATATTCACCAACACCATTTTTATCTTGAAAACAGGTGGAAGGAAATATAATATTGGCACATGGGTGATTTTTTCCATTTTTGTAACATAAGGTCGCCCATGTACTATACCGATTCTCATTGTCATAGTTTACAAGGGAAGAGCAAAAATGCAAAAGTGTGTTACTTTCGAAAACGGAGGTCCTTCCTATTTACGTTGTTTTATGCGAGTGTCCTTTGATCCATGTAATCAATCTTCGATATCAGCCTGCGTCCGAGGATTTTCAATGACTCTGTGAAATTTGACACAGACGTTACGTTGGCAGACAGTTAGAAACACGAACATGCTTAGAAGTAGTCAAGGATATCCTTTTTAACGTCCCTGAAGTATCTTTTAGAGTTACGAACTATCTGACAAAATAGATACCTCCATCTTTGGGTGTTGGTGATAGATATAAAAATGACGAGAAAATTTATAGCTTTCACTGTCCCTACCTCGGAAAGTTTTGGATGACCAGTTACCGTTTGATCTTGTCTGGTCAGAGTCAATAAAAATGTGCTGTGTGTTGTACATAATTAATTCTTTAACTTCTGATATCAATGGTTCTACCTAATTGTTTTTGTTAATTACGTTTTACTTAAACAATTTTTACTGTTTTGTTGTGCTTTTGAAATAAAATCTTTAGCTGAATAAATAACCTAACGTTATTTTAAAACTAAAAAATGGCAAATGTTTTGTATAAAAGAAAACCTGGATAAAAAAGGATATGTAAATTGTATTTTATTGAGGACTAAAACCGAGAAACAAAACTGTCTATGTATATAAATAAATAATTTCTGTGCTTGTGAAGGAAATAAATTGAAAAAAATTATTATTGCAATTGTTATTATCAACAAGGACAATTTTGGTTTGTGAATGCATAATAATTATGTCTGCAAAAAGAGTTGATATGGGTATGTTTGCTATACCATAACTAGTACATATGTTAATTAAAGAATAATTTAAAGTAAACTGTGAATTAAACTGTGAACTGGTTTTAAGATTTAAAAACAACGAGATAAAGATAGTAATAAAAAAATGGAATGGTACAGAATAAACTGGAAAGCAGAGAGAAGTTCATTTTCTTTATATACATTAACACATATGCATATCATCCCTCGTCATGAATTAAGTAAAAATCTATTTATTGTATAAAAGTAGACTTTCAAGTGTTTTCGGAATTGTAATAGTTTTTGGTTGCAACAACAGAAAGGGAAGAATAAAGGAAAATTTGAGAAAAAAAAAAAAAAATCGAAAGTGCTAAAGCATCGTCATTAGAAAATAGTTTTAGCAACTTCGGTGCGGTATTACCCTATTCAATCGTTTAGTCAATTTGGTAGACCATCATAATAGCTGCCTCTGGATTGACAAGAATAATCCCGGATATGGTAATGGTTTTATAGGGCAATTGCAGGATGTATTTATCCTGCTTCGATTTTGTTAAGATGCAAAATATACGTGCGGAAAAGCTTTGAAAGAAAACAAAAAGATAGACCCTTTTCTCTCGGCAAAATAGTGATGTTGCGCTCTAATTGTCGTGAAAAGAAAGCATTGAAATATAGTATTGAACGGTGAACGTACCAGCACAAGGAGGTTTGATATTAACATGTGGTGTTCGTTAAGTCGGCTGTGCAAATTGATGACTACTTAACAACTTTTCTGCTTGACCTGCCGCCTGCCTTGTTTAGAACTCATGACGATGTGGACAATATCGATCGTCGGCAGTATGGATGACAATATTGCAGGTATTGTGCCCACATCTGCTTTTGTAAAACCTCAGCGACTGGAGCAAGAAGGCGTTACATCTGTAGCTGGCGCTTTATCGCTCAACAGCCAGGTATTCGTAACGGAGAGACCAACGGACGACGTACTGGACAGACGACATAATATTATATAGTGTAAATGAAAAACCTCTTTTTTGTTATTATTTAATGTTTTTTCGTGATGCGGAATCATGGGCCGAGGGCAACCGCTCTACCGACAAAGAGCTAGGCCGCGTTCTCAAAAAAACATTACAAAGTGGCTGCACAACTTACAAGTTTTTCAAGTTACCCAGAGATGGTCTTACGCAACTTTTTACAAAGCACACCCTGAGCTCTGCCCGAGTAACTACTATCTAAAAATGTTGTAGGAAGAAATTCTGCAACACAACAGGAACTATTGTACATTATCAACAGTACTAGCGGAAACTCAGCCGATTGAAGTGATCTTTCATTCATGTAAAACGCCAAGAAATCGCTATGCTTATGGTACACCTGGTAATGCTTCTAAGACAATGAAGTCTTGGCCGTTCTAATACATTAATATACGAATTTGCTTATTCATCGTTTCTTCTAAAATGTCACAAAACCTCTTTTGTAATTATTTATATTTATATTTAGAAATTTTAATAAAACATAAACGAACTATCTAAATATCCGAGAGAAAGGAAAAGTTGTTTCTAAATATTTTTCTGCACGTGCTTTTACATGTATTAGAGTAAATAGAGAATATTCGTACATAGGTTAAAAAAAAAGGACATACTGTTATCACCTTTCAGATTCAGATCAATACTCTTGGTCAAGGAGGGTAACTTTTTTTCAGATGGCTTCGACGGTTTCTGGGTGCGAAGATAAAAACGAGCTAAGCCTCCATTGTTTCACTATTGGTCAAAAGATTGTATGGGAATCGTTAGATATAGTGGAAAACTACAGATTCCATTCACGAAGTTATGAAATTTTCATAGTGACGTTGCACACATATGCATTAAATTCAATTTTGTCTTACGACTCTACGGAAGCCGTAAGAATTGTCTACTGGAAATCAACGATTTGACACTGTTAAGTACAGCAGCGCCAATTGAGCTGTCCGTTCGAGGCAGTGAAGAAATGTAAATTCGACAGGAAAAATTAGTAAACTTGGCAAAGAAAACCACAATTCCCAATACAAAAAAGTTATGTACGTAAATAGATGTAGAAGTAAGAGAAAACATTATTATCGATGTCGCTGTGGGACTCGTTTAGAGTGCTCATAAAAATACAACATGCCTATTTCATAAGAAAAAATGGATTTGACGGAAGTGTGTCGCAGAGACAAAGCAAAAGTGCAAGAGGAAACGTGGCCAATTAAATTAATGATAAGGTATAGAAGATTTAAAACATTACCTAATTTATTTGGAACTTTAAATTATGTACAATGTATGTTTTGAATATAAATAACTCTTCATTTTGAAACGAAGTCTGAGAAATGTAGCGGCTGCACTCCCCCAATTTCACGTATACGAATCTCACCGAGAATAGGTTAGTTATTGCAATAAGAGAGCAATGTGATTGTGTTCGTATACTTTCGCATAGTGCGCAAAGTTGGAATTGTACGTTACAAAATCGTCCGTATTTTACATTCAACTACAGATAAAACAATCAATCAAAAGAGTGAAAATAATTGCCATCACTTTTAATTATTTATTTATAAATAATAAGAGAGGATCTACAGCTCTTGATCGCTTACGTGGCCATTCGTCAATTTTACTTTCAATAGAAGCCTTAATATCGTACTTACTGTTGTAAGACATTCTGCGATATTCCATCGTTTCCTGCACTGTCAGCTATGGCATCTTTTCTGATCTTCAAGATGTTTTTATTAGCTTTTTCTTTTGAATTATTGAAGCATTTTCGCGTTATTATTTTGTGAACTTGTGAATGAAAAGGAAAGGTTTCGTGTTTATTAAATAGTTTTGTTGTCTTTGCTTATGTCTCCAAATGTTCCTTGCTAATAAACATGTACATTGCGTGGGTGTGTATATAAGATTCAGCAGCAAGAAAAAAAATTAAAACTCCTTTTCATGAGTCAACATTTTTAGTTAGCTTAAATAAGTTTGCGCTTTTTTTGTAATTGCCTTGAAATACATTTTTTAAGTCAGTTTTCAGCTTCTTAATATTTTAAGGAAATATTTTGATATTATATATTTAGTATCTTCGGCTATTCTCACTAGTTTCAATGTTCATCCCGCCTAATTCTTTTTATTTCTGCTCACAAGTTCTTTCAAATATTTCTAGTTTATTTTGTGTTAGTAACAATTTGCTTTCCGTATATTATCCTATTTGGTAATATGGATAATATGATCTGCGTTGTTTTAAAAATTTTGCTAAGTCTCTTCCCATTGCTTGAGGAATGACTTGAGTTAGTCTTGTGATTATAATAAACCGAATTAGAACCCAAGTTACGTAGGTACTTGCCGGTATCCTTGTGTGCTCGTAAATTACGCACATTATTTGTTTTCAAATTTCATTGTCATCATTTTGTTTTCCCACTAAAATATTTTCTCCGTTAGTTAGGCCTACTTGTTTTGCTGCACTTCCGCATTTATCTCTGCATTAATTGAAACTCAGTAAGTTTATGATGATCAATAGTCTTTTTCTTTATCTTACTTCATGTAACGTCACTTTCAACCCGTTTTTCCTTCAGCTCAATTATTTTTTGTACCATACATTCGTAGGTAAGGATCATTAGCGCTCAATTGCACTTTCGCTTTTTGTTGTACTCATATGAATTGTGTTTTAAAACAAACATGCGAGTTAAGTTTCAACGTAATTATATTACCATTCGCTTGCGTGCCACTTGTTTGTTCCAGGTCTTTCTCTTCTTTTTTAATTTTATCTTTTCTTTATCTAGGCACACTGCACTGTTTCGGTATAGTGTCGTTGCTGTCGGCACTTCCTGTTACTCTCATTTCCATTGTTCATCATGCTTTGGTTTTCTTTAGGATTTTCGAAAGGACACAAAATTACTTCGTTTTTAATGTACATTTTCTACTTCGTGTCTTTCTTAGCTCATCTCATGTAAAGCAGTGTATGCTTGTCGTTTTGCAATTAAATTTTTTTCCAATTAATAATCTGGCTTCTTATTTTCAATCCTTTTTATTAGGGTTCTGCATAACTAA